CCATATTAATGAATATTAATTCATAGTCATTATGCATGAACATATATTCAAATGATCAGTATTGATATTTGGGACAAGGCTGTGTCCTGGGCTTTGGAAGAGCCCATCTCTTTCTGCCTTGATGTCTTTGGATGTATATAGTTAATATTTCATTAATTATGGTGGAGGAGTGTTGTGTATACATCAATGTCTCATATGATGCATATAATTAAGCTACTTTTTGTTGGGAGCGGAAGAAAATTGGGCTTTCCCAAAGAAAAGCAGCTTGCTCCCAAAGTTGCTAACAGATTGCTTCTTAATTGAACTTGGGAGGTGAATTATATGGTGAATTAGAAAAAAGAACAACTCTGAATTTAGTGAATTGTTCTATAAAGGAAACTGTGGGATTGAATTGCAAATGCTGGATAGAAACATTTCAGCCTGGCCCCATGCATCACGGGCCGTTGACCTCTGCTGTGTTTCAGTGAGAGCGTGAACAGCCCTGTAGCTCTCTTTTCAAGGCCTGGAGGGCATTCTTTCCCAGAGACCAGCTGTAAGCCTGGGTTTCTTATGCAAAGGAGACGTTTGAATAAGCCCCTGTGACTAATGAAATCTACTAGGTCTTTGCATATCCTCTCACTGAAGAGTAATTAACCAAAGATCAAATACGGGCGTATATATGTATTTTTTTTTTCAAATATTTTTTGTCTTGCAGTTACACCCAAGGAAAAAATATAGCCCCACACCCTGAATGCTCCCTCCCGCATTGTCCCCAATCTTTGTCTTGGGCAGGCTATATCTCCCATCCTTGTTCCATGGTGCCTGGGGCCGCTGTTCCAGCCACTGTCACACCTGTCTTACTCACTTGCTAGCTTTTACTGGAAGAGAGCAACATTTTCCATTGATACAGATGTGAGAAAGGAGTTTTTTGTGTATGGTTTTTTTTTTTTTTTTTCAGTGTTTGATGTGTTTCCAGCTCCACATATTCATTCCTGGGGAGCTTGGGAAGGAAGAGTTTGGTTGTAAGAAAATTTAAGATAAGGCTTCCTCTCACAGGTTCTCTGAGTAGAGAATCGCAACCTTGGCTGTACCTTAGACTCACCTCAGGAGCCTTTGAAAATCCTGAGGCCCAGCCCAGGCCCAGACTGATTCAATAAGAACCTCTGGGTGGGTGGGTCCCGGCCTCCTGCTTGTTTGTCTAAAAAGCTTCCCAGGTGATCCCAAATTGCAGTGAAGGTTGAGAACCATTGTCCCAAGAATATCTGCTTCCCTTTCTTCATAAAAGCTGATGAAAACCAATTTTCCTATCCGTTAGGCTGAGTTAGAAAAGATTGAGTTATCTTTTTAACAACTGTCTACCTGACTCGTCCATCTATCCATCAGTCCATTCATCCGTCCATCCTGTATTTTACTGAGTGTCTGCTATCTGCCAGGCGCAGTGTTCATTGTTGGACAAAACAAAGGCCCTTTCATCAAGATGCTAAAAACTAGAAACCAAACTGAAGGATCCTCTGAATGGACAGGAGAGGCCCACACCCTGCAGTTTGGGACGTGAATCAGCCCGAGCCCTGCACGAGCTCTGAGCGAACAGAGCGGAGTGCTTCTAACCTGGGAGGAGCCGTGGGACAGTGTCTTAGAGGAAGTGGTGTCCCAGCGGAAACTTAATGCACCAGTCAGATCCGGCCAGTGGAGAGGTGGGTGTGGCTGAGGAAAATAGAAATGAAGGTGCTATAGGTGAGACTGGGTGGCTGAGTAGGACAGAGGGGAAGTAGCAGGAAGCTCCAGGGCACCAGGCAGAAGAGGCCTCAGGGAATTAGAACTCATCCCAAGGGCAGTGGGGAACCTCAGGAAGGGTTTCATCAGGTAGAGCGGCCCAGGCACCACACTTGTTCTTTCTGGTCCCAAAGCTGAGGGGAAGGAGCACAGATTTGGAGGGTCGGATAAGAACCCCCCCCCCCCTTCATCCATTTCCCTTGCTAACCATCTCTGTTCCCTCGAGACAGGCAAGTCGATTCACCTTTTGGAGCCTTGTTTCCTCCCTGGAAAATGCTGATGGTTATGGCTGTTTTGTCATTGTGTCTTTGTGAGGCGACAATCATTAAATACAATACAAGGAGGGCATTTATCCCTATTCTTAGTGCGTGTTCAGCTCCATCACTGAACTTGGTAAACACTGATCCTTTCCCCCTCTAGCTACTAGGGGGCCCGTTCTTGCCTCAACTCCAGAGCTCGAGTTCCTGTTACAGCTCCGAGCACCAGGGGGCCGGGTGGGTCAGAAGTCCTCCACCCCGACCCTCCTCTGCCCACTGCAGAGCTGAATCTCTGTCTCTCCTGGCCTTTGCTCCCTCAGCCGCAGCCTACAGCTAACCCTGAACCCAGGCTGTGCCCAGGTGTCCTTGCAGGTTTCGTTTGTTTGCCTCCCTCCACCCCTTTCTCAGGAGCCAAGCACGTCTAAACTGACCGACCTTCTCTGAGGGGCTACTGCTATGTGGAGTTTCCTTCCGAAAGCCAGCCTCTGAGTCCCCTCCTGTCCACTACTAGTAACCCTGGTCACATTCGAACTGGTGCAGTTCCAGAGCCCTCTCGTGTTCTCTGGCTCTTGCCTGGATCCCTCGGAATAAATGCCAAATCCTGGAAATGGCACCACACAAGCCAACCCTCCAGACTCTCCACTGCCCTCTGGCCACACTACCTACTACTGTCTCTCTCACCTGCTCCCTTCCAGTCATACCTCCTCCCACCACCAAGCGCACTCCCACCCCAGGGCCTTTGCACCCATTGTTTTCCCCAGTTTGAAATGTTCCTCCCCAATCTTCTGTCTACTCTCTCCTTCACTCTCTTCAGGCTTCTGCTTTTCTGTCTCCCATGAAACAGCAACCCCTTAACCCTAGACTTCCCTTTTCCCCTCACCCTCATTTATTTTCTTTGTAGCGCCTATCAGCAATTGACTTAAATCTTTAGTCGCCTATTTGCTTATTGTTTTCCCCCCTCCCTTCTGTCAGAATATAATTTCCATGAGGTCAGGGTAGAGTTTGTTCTGTGCTGTATCCTGAGCAGCAGAAACAGCATCTGGCCTGTAGCAGGTGTTGGATAAATATTTGTTGAATGAGTTAGTGCCTAAACAAACCCATTACCTCATTTGGTCTTCAAAATAAACAGCCCATTTGACAGATGAAAAATACAAACGCCCAAGGTCTTAGCCACAGTTACGCAGCAGAGACGAAGCTAGTCCCAGAGCTCTGGCTTCAGGCTCCCCCTCACTCCTCACATGCCACATTCCTCTGCCGGCCTGGGGCCTGTGATTTTCATACCATCGGGATTTCCCCTGACCTTCAGCCCGAGAGGAAATGATACCGCAGCTGGAAGAATACCCAGAGGGCTGGGAGCTGGCAGCCAACACCCAGGCAGCTGCAGGGAGTGTTGGCCAGAGCGGCCACGGAGCGAGCAGGATGAAGGCCCGCAAAAATGTCAGCGCACGCCCGGTCCGCCACCAGGGTCGCCGGCAGGAGAGGGAAAGAGGCGGGCTGTGTGGTGGAGGCCCGGCTACGGGGCCTCAGGGCCGGCTCCCAGGGTTGTGCGGGGCCAGGTCATTGGGTCACCTGTTTGGGACCTTACCTTGAGCATTGCTGGGAGCCCGTGGGCTGTGGGGGCCACGGGGAAGATCCTCAGGCTTCTGATCAGGAGACGGTGTCCTGAGCACGACCCTGGGCCACTCATTTTGTGACTTGATTTTCTCCTCTGTAAAATGGGGTTACACTCCGTCTGCCACAGAATGTTTAATGAGGGAGAAACAGCTCCATAAGCTGCAGATTTCTAAACAGATGCAAGAAATTATTTTTGTATAAGTTGATTATCCTGTAGGTGCTTGGATGTGGTTTCATATGTACAATAGTCTCTCCTGGACATGGGCTCTGTTCTCAGATCTGCTCCCTGGTGTCACAGCCCACCCAGTTGTTCAACCCCCAAATGTGGGAGTCACTGGGGACCTCTCTCAGTCCCTCGTATCTAATCCATCAGCCTCCCTGCTTCCCTGCATGCAGCTATATTCCTCATATCCCTGTGGATTCAGCCTCCCTCGCTGCCTGGTTCCCCCTTGCCCACCACCATGAGCCCCTCCGTGGGGCAAGCTCATTCCCAATCCAGATTCTTTCCTGATCCTGGCCCAGACTTTTGTGTCCATGGTCAGGGAAGGCTCCTTCTGAGCGCTCTACCTTATCCTGCATCCAATCTTCAGATTTTTTGAACCCACAATGACTTTGTCCTTTTGTTCTCTTACCTTGTGTTTATCGTCCCGCTGCCCATTTGACCTGTCTGTCTTAGCTCACTGCTGAATCCCCTGGCGCCTGGAACCGCACACAGATCCAGCTCACCGTAGGTCTAATACTCATGGCTGATTGACCGCCTTCCTGGTGGGGACAGATGTGAACCAGGTTTATACACAAGGGCTACTCGCAAATAAAGACAAGCATGCCTGTCCTTGACCGAGGCCGTGTTTGCAGAGTCTGATATATAAAGTCAACAGAACAATTTCTAAAATGAGACCCACCCCAAAGAGAAAACCCAAATGCCTACTTAAGCCAAGGCAGTAGCTGACCACATTACGTATTTAAAAGCAGTGTTGGGGCTCCTCCCTGCGTTCAGAAGCGGGTGTCCTGTTTACATGCGATGCGGGCTCCCTAATGGGGGTGAGCTCGAGGAAGCTGACCTCCAGGTTGACTTTGGGATTTGCCTCCCAGCTTTGTATATTTGATTCCAAGTACCCTTGAACTGACGGAGGAGAGTAATACATTTCTAATTGGTGAATTATGTGCGTGGTTATGAAAAAGCGGATTCTTTTCCGCTCTAGCATCTAGAACAGTGCCCCGCCTGTGATGGGCTCTCAATCAACCCGTGTTGTCAAATCTTTCCTGCTCTGCCAGGGATCCTGGTCATCCCCCAGGGGATCAAGTTTGCTCCCTGAGCTCCTGGTGCTCCTACAAAGAAGGCTGATGCGTCCTCACTTTTCTTTCTCGTTCCTTTAGGTGGACTGGAGGAGCAGCCATCTGAGGGCTGGGAGAATGCAACAGCTGCCAACACCAGCCGTGAGGAAGCTAGCAAGGGTAATGTAAGGCCCTCCCAGGCCTTTGGGTCCTTTTTTTTTTTTTTTTTTTTCATTTCAGCTGTGGTAAATATTACATAACATAAAATTTGCATTTGAACCATTTTAATGTGGATAACTTAGTGACATTAAGTGCATTCACAGTGTTGTAGGACCATCCCACTATTTCATTCCAGAAAAATTTTTGTTCCAGAAAAGTTTCATCACCCCAAAGGAGACCCCACAGCCACTAAGAAGTCACTCCCCTTTTCCCCCTGCCCCTGGCTTTGCAAACCTCTTAAAAAAAAATTATTTATTTGAGAGTGAGCATGCGCGTGAGCAGGCAGAGGGGCAGAAGGAGAGGGAAAAGCAGACTCTGCTGAGCAGGGAGTCCGATCCGGGGCTCCATCCCAGGACTCTGAGATCAGGACCTGAGTGGACGGCAGATGCTTCACCAACTGAGCCACCCAGGTGCCCCAGCTTTGGGAACCTCTTATTCCACTTTTTACTTTCTATCTTAGTGGACTAGGAGCACCAAAGTGTCTGGGCATGGGGGAGTGTGTCCTTTTGTTGAGGACGGACTGGCTTAGGGCGGTGTTCCGCTACTCAGGGACGGAATGGTCTTCAGTTAAACTCCGACATCTGGCTTTGACCTTTCTCACCGCTGCTTAGCTTGTGAGTTGCAACCCCCAAGGACTGACAGGAGGGATCATGGGGCTTTGGGGACTAGATGTCTGAACAAGAACAAGAACAAGTGGGCGTGGGAGGGAAGGAGGGAAAATAAAGCTAGGATGGGAGCTGTGGAGGAGGTGTAGCCCAGAGACATTGTGAGCTGCTGGGGGAGGGGGCAGGTGAGGTTGTGCCCGCCTGTGGGCAGGGACACTCATCAGCAGGTGCCTGCCTGGAAGTCTGCCTCTGTCTGTCTGCACACTGACGCTCACAAGCGTGCGCCTTCCCGGGGTGGGGGAGGCGCCTCACTGGAAGCATCTCCATTTGGAGGAGTTTTTCCCGCTCAGAAGCCGTGCTGGCTGAGAGAAGCTGCTGGGTGGGCTTCTGTCTGGCCAGCACCCTGCGGGAATCAGGGCTCGCTGCTGCCAATGATGCTTCTTCTACATAAAATAAATGCAGGGCAGAAGGAATAATTTTTGTTTATTGAAGTAGAGTTGACACACAGTGTCAAAATAAATAATTTCTAGAATCTTCTGATCTACAGTCAGATGCGTTATCCATCCCGCCACTGGCCCTGTCAAAAGGAATGATTTTTACATGCCAGAATCCTTGTTTTCAAGGATGCCTATTTAGGGATAAAATAGAAATCATTATTTGCTTTATGTTTTCGCTTTAATGAATGCTATTTTGTATTTCACACATACATATGCACATATATCATTTCACACAAATGCATACATGTAATGGTACCGTCATATCCTTTCTTAAATTTTTTTTTTATTCTTTTCCCTTTAATTTGGCTACCTTCCTTCCTTCTTTTTCCCACATCTTGCTCCTCTGCCCTTCCCCAAGTAACCCCGGCCGATGGCTCTGTGGGCACCCTTCGTATTTTCCTCCATGCACGTATGTTCACACAGACACTTCTGTAGGGATGTAAACACACGTGCAAATATAAGATTCATCATTTTACAAAACGGGATCATATTCGATACGTGCTTTTTATGAATCCTGCTTTTCTCGCTCAGCAGTATGTCATGGGAAAACCCCCTAATAACGCACTGGTGATAACTTCAGTTTATTCTTCTGAATATTTTACAAAATATTTCTGGCGTGGATGGGCCGTAATCGAGCCAATGGTTCCGTTATCCATTAACATTCACTCCGTGTCAAGTTTTTGCCATCACGAGCAATGCCACAGTAGACGTTCCCGAACCTAAATCCTACACATTTGGGATGTTTTTAACAGGTGTTCCTGGAGTGGGCTTAAAGCCGCTCACATTTCCAGAGTGACTTGTGAGTGTGCTCCTCTCACCACATCCTCTCCAGCACTAGGTGCTCTCTGTTTTTGATAATGTAAATAGGAGTTTATTATTACTGAATTTGGATTTCCTTGCCTGCTGCTGACTCCCAGCCTCTTTTCCTGCCTTTGCCAGTGACATAGGGGTGCACTTCTGTGATCTGCTTCTTCCTGTCTTTTGCCCATTTTTCTGTTGGGTTGCTGATCTCCCCCCTTACCAGTTTGGCCTCTTTCAGACAAAGGCGGATCCATCAGCTCCCACGCCGCACCTCCTCCTTTGTTAAATGTACATTTGTTTCTCCCTCTCATAGCACGTTGCTGGGACCATGTGCAGGGCTTCCTTGAAAATCTGTGGTTTCCTGCTTTGCTTTTTCAAAGTATTTTGACTTGTGCTTTCTCAGACTCCCCAGACATCTCGTAATCTCCATGGCACTCTGATTTGGCCACAGATGACCAGCACTTTGCGCTGACAATGGAGCCTAGGAGGTGGGACCGAAACTAGAGGGGTTTACTAGCACCGCAGTAATGTAGATGCCACACCTGATTTTTCCTTCCTAAGTGATTTATCGTTGCCCTAAAACCACTCCCAATCTTAGTGACTTCAAACAGTGATTTGTTATCTTTCACGATTCTGTGGGTTGACTGGATTCCGTGGGGTGTTTCTTTGGCTGACATCAGCTGGGTCACTCACTTGACTGCATTCATCTAGCAGCTGGCCTGGGCTGGCCTGGGTGGTCCAAAAAAAAGCTGTAGTCACATGTGCCTCCATGTGGCTCTTCTCGCCACGTGGGTTTTCATCTAGCTGTCTAACTTGCCATTTTTTACAATATGGCGGCTGGCTTCTCAGAGGGAAGAGCCAGAAGCTGCCAGTCTCTTTAAGGCCTGAACTCAAGAGTTCCCAGAATGAACTATTCCCATAGTCTATTGGTCAGACAAGCCAAAAGGGCTGCTTAGCTTCAAGAGGAAGAAAATAGATTCCACCCCTTAATGTGAATAGCGTCATGAGCTCACGGAGAGGAGAGCTGTGGCCATGCTTAGAGACCAACTCCAGCCTTCTCTCACTGCCTCTTACCTGCCCACCAGCAATGGACAGTGTCAGGGTTCGTAGTATTGCCTACTTTGTTGGTGTAAAATGACCCAACCAAATAAACTTGGACCATCAGACGCACTTGGGTTTGTACCTTAGCTTAGCCACTTAGTAGCTAGGACCTCAGGTAAGTGTTCACATGAGGTTTGGAGAGAATTGGAAATATTTATGCAAAGTGCATAGCCAGATGTCTGGAATTTAAGAGGTACTCAGTGACTGTAGCTCCTCCACTTTTTCCCTCTCTACCTCCACCTCCAAGAATAATGTTATGCAGCCCTGGAAGGACACCCTCCACCTCTGGACTGGGATTCCACAGCTGTGCAGCAGCTGCACAGAAACACAATTAAGGGAGACCGGAAGGAATATGGCTGCCGCAGCTCATTACCATGCCGCCTCTGGTAGGTTGCCTTGTGCCTGGCACCTGCACAGAAACACGAGATCTCCTTGGGCTTTTTAAGGAGGACAGTGAAAGCACTGCCCTAGCTACCATGCCTCACACCCCTACAGTGGGCTAAATCCTAGTCTGCAGACTGCCCAGTGACTCCGGTTTTTTTTGAAAGAGAGTCAAGGCTAGGCCAAGTTTCTCCACACTGTATTGCAGCAGCAGACAGACACATCTTTAAGCATCTCAGGCAAGCCTGATGGGGAAGGAGACCCTTGGCACCCTCAGAGGTGAGCCGCAGGCAGGCCGTTCTAGCCTGTTCCTCCCGCCTTTCCTCCATCTGATTCATCTCTCCAGGGCCCTGTCAGGCGCCAGCGTGGGTGCTGCTTGTTTTGTTTGAATTAAAGATAAGACAAGTTGTGTCAATCTCAGATTCCCCTTTCATCACAACCTGACCCCCTCCCAACACCCCCAGAAAAAGAGACCGCCCAAACAGGAGAAAGGATCTGAAGGAAGCCCCCCTCCCCACCACGGCCCCCCCCCCACCCCGGCTTCAGCAGCAGGCTTATTTCCTGGCATTATGTGGCTCCCCTCAGCCCTGACGGCAGGGATTTGTGCTCCCAGCTCTGGGAAGGGCGGGGTGGTGGGGGGCGGCTCAGAGAATTGCTCACTCAGCATCCCCCTGGCAGACCGTTTGGTCCGAGGAGTCTCCCTCCCCTGGAGATGAGCGCTCAGCCTGCATTTCAGGGCTGCTAATGGGATTAATGAAATGGAGTGTGTAACTGCTCCTCCAATGAAGCTGTTGACTGTTACGTTAGAGCCCGATTTCCAGAACCATCTTCATAGATGAGAATGGACCTTTCACTCCCAGTAACAGTTCCTAAGGGCTTTGTGCTGCAGGAAATCACAGTGGAATCTTGTTTGCACCAGAGACGGCAAGCTTGGTACAAAGCACTGCCCAGCACACGAACCCCTGAATGTCACTAATGTCAGTAATGGGTGTTATCACTGAACCTAATTTTAGGCATTCTTTCTAGCCCGTCCCCAAATGCAGACCTGGCTAGCGATTACTGAAGCTCGCGTGGAACCCTCACCATGGCGGGCGTTTGACATTCATTACCTGGTTCAGTGCTCACAACACCAGCATGCGGCAGGAAGGAAGATTCCGAAGGCAGGAAGAGTGCCGTATCCAAGGCCACACAAGTAGCAAATGGCAGCATTTATCTTGAACCTAAGTCTCTCCGGACCCTAAACAACCCCCTGCTCTTAACCTTATCAATGGTTCTCAAACATCCCTGTGCTTTGGAACTACCTGGGAGCTTTAAAAACTATCATGCCTGGACTCCACTCTAGTTTGATTGAGTGGCAATCTCGGGGCAGGGGGCAGACACCAGCATTTTTAAAAAGCTCCCCAACCGATTCACATGTGCAGCCAGGTTCGAAAACCATCATGGAGAATAATCCAGTCTCCGCTTTCACGGAGGGGCTCCTCCTGAGCCTCTCCAGGTTGCAGGCAAGCTGCTATGTTGCCCACCACCCTGGGGTGGGGGGTGTTGTGGATGGCTGGACTCTCAGGATGTTTGCTCC